CAGCTCGCCCGCGCTGCACTCTCCAGCCCCTGGCGGTATCCTGGCTCTGCCCTGCTCCAGAGAGAACACCCAGCATCAGCATAGGCGGGGGGAGACAGAGAGGCAGCGGGCCTTTCAACTTCATGTCCAGCTTTGGCTGTGCAGAGACCCTTTATTTCAAAAGCTGTAGATAAGACATTTTATACCTTACTACGTCAGCCAAGGTGGACTCTCATCTATCCACAGTACCATAATTATTCTTGAAGAAATGATGCAGAATTTTATAACTCTGAGAAATTTGTCGTTGGCCTTCAAACTGTCCTTTTTACAAAAGTGTATGTATATCCTAAGGAAGCGCCAATATAGATGACTCAACCTTGCTCTCTCCTTTATTAAATGTTTAGTGCTGGTTGATCCCAGAGTCCTTTGTGTGGTGCTCAAGCACCAAGCTCTTAGGCACTGGATCTTCTAAGAGAAGACAGGTTCAGAGGAAACATTTTGGGTAAGAACACATTGCAGATTGTGTGTCTTGTTGCAACATTTCCAGAAACACTTAGGTGTTAGCTATCATGTTATTGATTTGGTCATTTGGGTAAGATTATGGCTTCCAGAACTTCACTAAATGGTTTAGTTTGTTGTGGATAAGTAGCCTAGTGGAGAAACTGTTGTGGCCCAGCATGTCTCAGCCCCAAACCACGGTAGACATGAGGAGCTTGGACTTGGAAACTGCTAGCAACCCAGTGGTGACAAAGACCAAACACAGGCGCCTTGTCATCTTTAGAGAGCTTTCAGTTCCATGCTGCAAAACTGGAGTCTCTTCTTTATTCAGCATCTTCCTGGCTGTTTCCTAACCGTGCTTCCCTGACCCTGAGGCCATTTCTTTCTCCTCCAGTCGACCCCTTCGCCTGGTCACTCCTAACTCTGTGTGTCCTCACTTGTCCCATACACCTAGCCCTCTGCCCTGGTGCAGGGGTATTCAAATGCTTAGTTCTGTAGAGTTGCAAACTAGGAGGCATTCTCCTCTGAGGCTATGCTATTCAATAGCAGATTAGGTAGCATCTACAATACAATTGTAGACTTGAGCTCCCAGTTACTGGAACCAGAGGTTTGGACCACCAGAAATCCTCTAATGGAAATTTCCTGGCTCCCCGACAAGAAACTATTACTTCTAAATATTTATAGATAAGGATATTTTAATCCTGGGTAAAATATAAGCAAGAATTGAAATCGATCTCTGAGTGAATAACATAATAATAGTAACACAATTCAGGTTGTGTGGTATGACTCCTGCTGGACTCAGTACAAAATTGCTACCATACATTTTAAGCAGGAAGCCAGGATTTGACTGTAACCTTGTTTATGTTGGCACTATAGTCCCAAGTATGTGTGCCTCTCCCTAACACAAAGTTGGAAAAAGATAAGTGTTCAAGTAAAGATCTTACACAAGAAACGAGATAAAACCTAAACCAATATAAAGATGCCATCAGGAGTAAATGGAGATCAATAGGAATTAGATTCATGTTTTTAGACTTTTTACATGTATGTGTGACTTGCATGCATATAGGTAAGTGCACTTCTGTGTCTGCTGCCCAAGGAGCCCAGAAGGTGCTGAAGGGACCAGCTCCCCATTTCGGCAGCCAAAACAGCCTAGCACGTGCTTGCCTGACCTTGTCTTGTTCACTGGGAGGTCAGATGCCTGCCTCGTGGCAAGGAACCAATCAGAAGTTAGCTGGTGGTGCTATGCTTTATGGCTCTGGGTGTGCTTTATGGACAAGTACACAGAAATGACAAGCAGAGCATAGCAACCACCCTGGGAGGGCCTATGGGCCATAACAACCAGTTGACCAATCAACACAGGGCAAACCCTCCAAGCCTGGAGGCACACCAGTCCTGAGCCTGTGAGTACCTCTAGACACTGTCCCTTATGCTGCCCTATAAGATCTCTATGCAGACGCTTCGGGCCGTCTTTCTAGCCATCCGCCATGGCAGGTGGATGAAAGACCCGAGCTAACATGGGGTTAGCTTGTTAAACAACTACAATAAAGCCTCTTGCAGTTTGCATCAAGCTTTTGACTCCTGCCTGGTGATTGGGGTGACTGTGGTCCTGGGCTGAGATCCTGGGGGGCCTGAGCCTCCAGGGGTCTTTCATTGTCATATCCCCTGGAACTGGAGTTAAGACAGTTGTGAGCCACCCAGATGATCGAGACTGAACATGGGTTCTCTGCAAGAAAATACAGAAAGTGTTCTTACTTCCTGAGCCATCACTGCAGTCCCGGTGATGATAATTAATGTGAAAACAAGTTTTTTCAAGATCATAAATTTATATTGATTTTTCTCCATTTATGTTTCTATTATTGTTTGAATTTGGTATTTTGCCAGATTCTAAAGTACATTGTAAGGGCCTCATCTGGAAAATTCACCTCCTATTTCATAACACCTATCTGGAATGATACTTTCATGTGAATGATCCCTTTGGGACAATTTGCTGTGTTCCAAGTTCATCATGGTGAAGATATTCGTCTAGTACAAAATTCAGTAATGGGTGAATTTCTCTGTTGATGAGACAAAGGTGATAGATACCCAACAATATTTTCATGTCTTGTCCTCTCTCAGAAGAATGTCTCCCAGCTGAAAATCTTGCTCCCATCAAAAGATACAGTCTGGACTGTCTTTCAGATTGACAACAATGATTCCTGGAGGTGCGGTCAGAAACCAACTCCCCAGGACAGACCCAACCCCAGGCCAGATTAAACAATACCAATAAAACTGGAAAAAAAAAAGTGAGATTGCAATTCGTATTTCCTGGCTGACAGAGATGGACTTGGAATATGCCTGTCCTGTCTTGAAGAAATGCAGGATCTCATCCAACATTGGAGGAAAATGAATAAGAGAGCATAGAAACCACCCACCCCATGGACCCAAACCCACACTCCCATGAGTCTGATTCCTCCAGAGAGACAAGTGTTCACTGTCTTGGACCTGAAAGATGCGTTCTTCAGCTGCCCATTGGCAGGGGTGAGTAAACCCATATTTGTTTTTAAATGGAGGGATCCAAGGGAGGTTACAGATGACAACTTACCTGGACTAGGTTGACCCAAGGATTTAAAAATTTTTTCCAATCCTGTTTGTTGAGACACTCTTGCCCCCCATCACAGGTTTCCTGGGACCATACTCCTAGCCTCCTCCTAGCTTCTCAACTAAAATAGATCATAAAAGGTCCACCGAGGGACTAAGAGAGCTCTAGACCAGGAGCTACAATGTCACCACAGAAAGCCCTTTTGTACATCAGAGGGTACCTGATGAAGAGAGGCCAAAGGAGCTTGTCTCAGAGTAGGATTGCTGCCATCCTTCACATCCCGACTCCAGAGACTAATAGACAGGTTCAAGTGTTACCAGGTGTGGCTAGGTATTGGTGCCTCTTGGATTCCAGGGCTTGGGGAAATAGCAAGTCCTCTATACACAAATAAAAAGGGGAAACTGAGCACCTAATATGGACTGAGTGTAAACAAAGAATGTTTGAGAATTTAAAAACAGCTCTGAGTTTGGTTCTAGCCCAAGTGATTCCAGCCAGGTCAAAACCTTTTCATCTGTTTGTGTGTGAAAAGAAAAATATTGCAAAAGGTACTTCAACCCAAACTGAGGGGCCACAAAAATGTCTGGTGACAAAGCTGTCCTGTAGTGACAGGATGACTCACCTATGTGAGACCTGTCGTAGATTCTGTCCGTCTAATAAAAAAACAAAAAACAAAAACCAAATAAGTTAACTCTGGGTCAGGATCTTACACTCACAGTATCCTGAGCAGTGGAGACCCTCCTGAGGAACACCAGAATGCTGGCAATCTAATGCCTGCATGACCAGTTCTAGGCCCTACTCCTGGATCACCCTCATGTCATGTTTGAGAAGCCCATGGCCATAAATCGTGCTACCCTCTTGGCTGAGGTGCTGTAGGTGCTCATCCATGACTGCCTTGAGATGACACACCCTTGAAGATTTCAATGCAGTGCCTTACCCAGATGGGAGCAGTTTCATTAAAGATGAAAACAGTTATGTGGGGCTGCAATAGTTACTTCAGTTGAAATAATTAGGGCCCAAGGCTCTGGGAGAGATACCTCAGCCCAGAGAGCAGAACAGTTCAATCTTATCTAGACTCTCAGATGGGGAAAAGGAAAGCCCACCAACAACTAGACAGACAGCCCCTATACTCTTACTACAATCCATATCCATGGTGCTATCTATAAAGAAAGAGTGTTGTAGGATAATTGATCACACTGAGAACCCTGAGTGAACCCTGAGATCGTGTTATTTCCTGGAACAATCTGTTTGTAGTTATGGTGCAGCTCAGCACTAGCACACACCTTTAATCCAAGAACTTTCTGCTTATTGTAAACAGGATTAAATAAAAAACATTTCCTAGGTCAAGGGGCAGAACAAGCAACCAATTGACAGGAAGTAACCATAGAGAGTAAGAGGGAGTCAAGAGAATGGATAGAGAGATTCAGAAGTAGAAGAGGGGAACATTGGGTTGGAGGAGTTTTGTAGAGATGGTATAGTTTGAGAAAGCCCTTTCTGGGACATTGGCAGAGGAGGAAGGTCAGCCTGGTGCTTTCTTTGCCTCTGTGAGCTAGCAGGTTTTCACCCCAGCATCTGGCTATCATGTCTGTGCTGGTAAAAATCAAATGATTGAGATTTGTTAAAAACAACAAAAAGGGTTTCTCATTGATGGGGGAAAAGGAAAGCAAAGTGGAAATTTAGCCATCCTAGAGGTTATTTGGTGTCCCCTATGAGTTGCGAGCCTCCACTGCCAACAACACCACATTTAGAGAGGGGGTATTTTGGTCCCATGCAGGCTCCCCAGCTGTCAGCCCGCTGGCCATGAGCTCCCTCTAGCTGGGGCCAGCTGTCTCTGTGGTTTTTCCCCATCGTGGTCTTGACCCTCCTTGTTCATATGATCCCTCCTCCCTCTTCAACTCAACTCCAGGGGCTCAGCCCGGTGACTTGGTCTGTTGGGGCCCTGTCAGTGGCACCAGGACCTATCTCAGAGGCATGAACTGGCTTTTTTTGGAGGCCACTCCCTATGGTGGAATACATTGCTCATCCTTGATACAAGAAGCAAGGGCTTGGTCCTGCCTCAACTTGGTATGACTGACTTTATTTTTATTGACTCCCTTTATCCCCTCTGAGGACTGGATGGGAGTAGGAAGGGTTGGAGGTGGGGGCTGGAGAAGGGGAGGGAGGAGGACCTGGGCTTGGTATGTAAAATGAAAAATAATGTTCTTAAATTAAAAAAAAATCTAGTTATTCTCAATAAAACTGTCACAGCCTTGGTCTTACTGTGGCTCCTCCAACTGGCCTAGTTTAATTCCTAATGGCTATCCTAGGTCCAGTAAGTAAGCATGGCACTTACAGTCCTCTAATGTTGATTTGGGCTGTAAAGTCACAATGATTTTTGTCAGCCAAGAGACTGACAGTCCAGTTAGTTGCTATCCCCGTGTGTTATGGGGACTGGGGGGCTGTTTCCGGTTAGGATTTCTATTGCTGTGAAGAGACACGATGGCCACAGCAATTCTTCTAAAGGGAAACATTTAATTGGGGTGGCTCACTACAGTTTCAGAAATTCAGTCCATTAGCAGCATGTCAGGGAGAACGGCGGTGTACAGGCAGACATGGAACTGCAGGAGTAGCTGAGAGTCCTACATTTTTCTGGCAATAGGAAGTCAACTGAGACACTGGGCGGTATCCCGAGCATAGGAAACCTCAAAGCCACCCCACCGTGGCATACTTGCTCCGACAAGGCCATACCCAATCCAACAAAGCCGCACCTCCTAATAGTGTCACTCCTTGTGAGATTATGGGGGACAGTTACATTCAAACTAGCAATAGGGGTCTAAGCATGACAAGCAATCCTGACTGATTTGTGGCTGGGAATAAGTAACGAAATGCCAGATCTTGCCAAGAGTAGAAAACAGGCATGAGGATCCTGCAGATTCCTGGAGAATGGGAATCAGGACTGTGACTTGGAATGTATGAAGTGAGGTAGTTTCTTTTCTTTCTTTTTTTCTTTCTTTCTTTTTTTGGTTTCTCAAGACAGGGTTTCTCTGTGTAGCTTTGGAGCCTATCCTGACACTCACTCTGGAGAACTCACAGAGATCCTCCTGCCTCTGCCTCCCAAGTGCTGGGATTAAAGGTGTGTGCCAACGCCCGGCTGAGGTAGTTTCTTTAAAGGGGAGAGTTGGTTGGGACTTTAGTATGGTAGGCTGATGGGCATCTAGGTTGTTTCCAGGTTCTGGCTCTTACAAATAATGCTGCTATGAACATAGCTGAGCAAATAAACATCCTTGTGGTATGAGTGTGCACCTTTTAGGTATATGCGGAAGAGCGCTATGCTGGGCCTTGAGGTAGATTGATTCCCAATTTTCTGAGAATCTCCCATACTGATTTCCAAAGTGATTGGACAAGTTTGCACTCCCACCAGAATGGAGAAGTGTCCCTGTAGATGGATTACAAGGACTGGACTTGTCTAATATCCAAAACCTTTAACCTAGGCACCTCCCTTGTTCTGCTGCCTGCTGATCATCTGGACAACAGCAATGTCACTGAGCCCCTGCCACTAATGGCGGGCACATACTAACTAATGGTAGGACTCTTCGGCTACTTTCCAAACTGAGAAACCCCTTTGTGCATCACAGCACAGCTATGCCACACATATTCCTGTGTAATGGGGAAGAAGGGAAAAGATGTTTTAATATGGACCCTGGACCACAAAGGATAAATGTTGCAGCGCTGGTGTTGGGTTCACATGGATCCGTGGAAAGAAAACTCAGAGGCACCTTAAGAATGACTTTGGGGGGCTGGAGAGATGGCTCAGTGGTTAAGAGCACTGACTGCTCTTCCAGAGATCTTGAGTTCAATTCCCAGCAACCACATGGTGGCTCACAACCATCTATAATGAGATCTGGTGCCCTCTTCTGGTGTGCAGATAGACATGGAAGCAGAATGTTGTATACATGATAAATAAAAATCTTTAAAAAAAAAAGAATAGCAGAGGTCTTTTTTTTTTTTTTTAATGACTTTGGCCAGCTGGGCGTTGATGGCGCACGCCTTTAATCCCAGCACTTGGGAGGCAGAGGCAGGCGGATCTCTGTGAGTTTGAGGCCAGCCTGGTCTCCAGAGCGAGTGCCAGGATAGGCTCCAAAGCTACACAGAGAAACCTTGTCTCGAAGAACCCAAAAGAAGACGAAGACGAAGAAGACGAAGAAGAAGACGAAGAAGAAGACGAAGAAGAAGACGAAGAAGAAGACGAAGAAGAAGACGAAGAAGAAGAAGAAGAAGAAGAAGAAGAAGAAGAAGAAGAAGAAGAAGAAGAAGAAGAAGAAGAAGAAGAAGAAGAAGAAGAATGACTTTAGCCTTATTAGGCCGCAGGGGGATCCAGCCTCTAAGGACGGAACCACTTTCCCTTTGCCCGGGGCTACTTTAATTGTGAGTGGGGGATGGTCTCCCCTCAGGATATAGCAAACTTCTCTCCTAGTGAGAGCAGAGAGACCTGAGCTCTGCCCCCGCCCCGCCCTTTCAGGGTTCCATTCTGCTGGGAAGAAGATGTTACCTCTTCAGCTTCACTCTGCTGAAGAGAAGCCCCCACAGAAGTGCAGCATCCTTTGGCTCTGAGAAATGTTACTTTTTTTTTTTTTAATGGCTCAGCCCCTCTCAGGGAACATCGCTGCCAGGTTTTTTTTTGCTCAGTTCCCTAATGACATCTCAGCAAGATTCTTCTATTCTGCACCGGTGAATGAAGATCTTCACCCACGACCCATTTGGCAGATTTATTTGGGAAGGAGTCCAGGAGAGTGGTTGCCTCTGCCAGGGTGGGAAAGCACTGCCAGCCACTGAACGGGCAAGGGGCTCATGGAGGGCTTCTCAGGGGCGGGGTTTTCCCAGGGAGAAATTTTCTGCTCAGGGATTGGTTATTTTAGTTGGTCATGGGCAGAATTGGCTCTGGTTTCAGGGCCAAACTACTTCC